CTCAATACTTACTCAACAATCCTCATGCTAGACATCCGCCTGGGTGACCTGGACACGAGAAACCAAGCGCCTCGCTCGAGACGCTCTCAGCACATCCTCATGCTAGACATCTGCCTGAGCGACCTGGACACGTGAAACCAAGCGTTTCGCTCAACACATCCTCAACATATCCTCATGCTAGACATCCGCCTGGGCGACCTGGACACGCGAGGACATCCTCCGACATCCTCCGAACATCTTCATGTTAAACATCCGTCTGGGCGACCTGGACACGTGAAGCCAAGCGTTTCGACGAGCACCTCCTCAATACCTCCTCATGCTAAGACATCTGGCTGGGCGACATGGACACGTGAAAGTAAGCGTCTCGCTCGAGGCATTCTCAACACATCTTCATGTCAGACATCCACCTGGGCCACCTGGGCACGTGTAAGAAAGCGCCTCGCTCGAGACCTTCTCAACACATCCTCATGCTAGACATCCGCCTGGGCCACCTGGATACGTGAAAGCAAGCGTCTCGCTCACGACCTTCTCAACTATCCTCATGCTAGACATCCGCCTGGGCGACCTGGACACGTGAAAATAAACGTTTCGCTCAACACATCCTCAACGCATTCGGAGCCAGACATCCGCCTGGGCGACCTGGACAAGCGAAAACAAGCGTGTCTCTCGAGACATCCTCAACGCATCCTCATGCTAGACATCTGCCTGGACGACCTGAACGCGTGATAACAAGCGTATCGCTCAAGACATCCTCAACAAATTCTGATGTTAGATATCTGTCTGGGCAACCTGGAGGCGTGAAACCAAGCCTTGGTCTCGCTCGAGACATCCCCAAGGCCCGGGCACGTGGAAATAAGCAATCCACCCGAGACATCCCCTGAATTCTGGTCCCGAGAGAGAGGAACGATCTATCGCACAAACCGAACGTTTCGCTCGAGACATCCTCAACAAAGTATGCAACACAAGCGTTTCGTTCGAGACATCCGAACAAACGAAAATGTTTACTTTACCAAACGTTTGATCGATCGGAGTTCAAACAAAAAAAGAAACAAACAAAAGGAAAACAAGACGTTTCGCACGGGACATACCTCGACCTCGTTATTTATCGCAAATTACATTCGCCGGCCCATCTCAAGTCGAGGCGGGGGTAAACCTACTGAAAAAGAACCCTGGGCCCGCGCCCTTTCCAGGAAAAAACGAAAACATTGTTCTTAGAACAAAAACCCGATACTTCAAGACAAGACAGTCTCAGCCAGACATGTCGTGCAAACCACACGAGATCCGAAGAACATTCTCTGGTGAGCCTATGGGCAAGCCGGGACGCCTCGCCACTGCTTGAGCGTGAGCGCCGCCTCGACCCGTCCCCCAAACCGCCCCCTGGCCATGGTCGACGGGAGGGCCCCAGAACACCCCGAGGGGAGCGGGAGCCGAAGGAGCCACGTCCGCCGCTTGCGGGAGAGGCGCCTGCGAGGCGGGGAGGTATCCGCATTCCATGTCCGCCGCCTGTGGAATCGACGTCCTGGGACCCCAGCGGGCGGCGGCTGCGATAACGTTTGGGCCACAGGGGGCCGGCGCGTTCGAGTATCCCACCGCCTGCCGAGGTCCCCGGAGATCGATCCCCCAAACGATGGCTAGGGGAACGAACAATGAGAGAGAAATGACATGATGGACCCACGAACCCGGAAAGCAATATAGAAATGTAACGAGTGACAACGTTTTCAAAGACACCTGATTGGGTGACGGGCAATCGCAATGCTGAGTGCATCGATCTTGATGTACCGTGCCGAGGGCTGTGCTGTGCTGCGCCGTGCTGAATTGCAATGTGCCATGCCGCGATTGTGCTCTGTAGCGTCGTGGATAGTCCTCCTTTGCATCCGAGTCCTGATCGACCTGATCTGGCCCTTAAGCTCGAGCTGCCTGAGCACATAGTAGCTGCCCCAGAACTCATCGACAAGGGGACATGCCATGAGGACGCGCCGCGGAACGTCCCAAGGGACGCGCCAGGCGACGTGCCAGGGGACTTGCAATGGGCACACACCGCGGGACGTGCCAAGTGGACGCGCTACGGAACGTGCCAATGGACGTGCCACAGGACGTGCAAGGGGACGCGCCTCGCGACGTGCTAGGGGGACTCGCCACAGGACGCGCCGCGCGACGTGCCAGGGGGACTCGCCACAGGACGCGCCACGGAACGTGCCAGGGAACGTGCCAAGTTGCAATGCTGAGTGCCTGGGCGACCTGGACACGCGAAAACAAGCGTATCTCTCGAGACATTCTCAACACATCCTCATGCTAGGCATCCGCCTGGGCAACCTGGACACGTGCAAACAAGCATCTCGATCGAGACTTCCTCAACACGTCCTCATACTAGACATCCGCCTGGGCGACGAAGACGCGTGAAACCAAGCGTCTCGCTCGAAACATCCTCAACAAATCCTGGCGCTAGACCTCTGCCTGGGCAACCTGGAGGCGTGAAACCAAGCGTCTCGCTCGAGACATCCTCAAGACCTGGGCACGTGAAAACAAGCATTTCACTTGAGAGATCCTCTGAATGCTGGTCCCCAGGTGAAGACAATCTATCACACAAAACAACCGTTTTGCTCAAGACATCCTCAACATATTCTGGAAAACAAGCGTTTCGTTCGAGACATCCTCCAAAATAATTCCTCCGGCCCTAGTCGGCCTCGTTACTTATCACAAAAATAACATGATCGACCCACGAACCTGGAAAGGAATATAGAAATATAAGGCATGGCAACGGTTCAAAGACACTTGATTGGGCGACAGGCAAATGCAATGTTGAATGTTTCGATCTTGATGTACCGTGCCGTGGGCTGCGCTGTGCTGGCCGTGCTGAACTGCGATGTGCCATGCCGCGATTGTGCTCTATATAGCGTTGTGGATCGAGTCCTCGCTGCATCCGAGTCCTGACCGAACTGATCTGGATCTTAAGCTCTGGTAGCTGCCCCAAAACTCATCGACAGGGGGACATGCCAGGAGGACGCGCCGCTGAACGTCCCAAGGGACGCGCCAGGCGACGTGCCAGGGGACGTGCCATGGGCACGCACCGCGGGATGTGCAAAGGGGACGCGCTACGGAACGTGCCAATGGACGTGCACCGCGCGACGTGCCAGCGGGACTCGCCACGGGACGCTCCGCGGAACGTGCCAGGCAACATGCCAGGCTGCAATGCTAAGGGTATCGATGTTGATGTACCGTGCCGAGGGCTGTGCTGTGCCTGGGCGACCTGGACACGTGAAAACAGACGTTTCGCTCAAGACGTTCTCAGCACATCCTCATGCTAGACATCCGCCTGGGCAACCTGGACACGTGCAAACAATCGTCCCGATCGAGACTTCCTCGACACATCCTCATGCTAGACATCCGCCTGGGCGACCTGGACACGTAAAACAAACTTCTGGTTCGAGACATCCTCAACAATTCCTCATGCTAGACATCTGTCTGGGCAACCTGGAGGCGTGAAACCAAGCGTCTCGCCCGAGAAATCCTCAAGACCTGGGCACATGAAAACAATCATTCCACTTGAGACATCCTCTGAATTCAGGTCCCTAGGAGAGGACAATCTATAACACAAAACAAGCGTTTCGCTCGAGACACCCTCAACAAATTCTGAAAAGCCAACGTTTCGCTAGGGACATCCTCAAATTTTAATTCGCCGGCCCACCTCGTCCTCGATATTCATCGCAAAAAAAATTCGCCGGCCCACCTCAAGTCAAACCCGGGGGGGAACAAACTAAAAGAGAACCCTGGGCTTAAGCCCTTTCCGGGAATAATTTCGCCGGCCCTAGAGCCGTCGAAACCAGGGGAAACCTACTAAAAGAGAACCCTGGGCCCCCGCCCTTTCTGGGAAAAACTCGGAGGTCCATGCGGATTTCTCGGATCCGCGCTGGACCCCCCTAGCGGCGCCTCTGGCGCGCTCCGCGCGCCAAGAAGGGGGGTCCAGCGCGGATCCGAGAAACCCGCACGGACCTCCGAGTTGTTGTGTGTATGTCATTCTTCGTGCCCCTGCTGGACCTCGGGGCCTCAGGGCGAGATCTTCGTCCTGAGTCGTTCTCTGACTGCCCCGGGACCCGAACAGGGCCCCGAGAGCCCGAAGAGGACCGGGAGGGCGGGAGCTCCTTCGGCAAGCGGGCCTCCAGGCGCCCGCCAAGACACCGCTAGCTGCCGTATGCTGGCATCCGTGCGTTCCCCTCTTCTCATGCCACGCGTGCGGTTGGCTTCCCGGCTCAGCCGTCATCGGCCGACCGACCGAAGGTCCAAGGAGCTTATTACCATACGGGTCACCAAAGTTCACTGGGCCGCGCGGGACACGCCGCGCGTCTGCTCGTCATTTCCAAGGTACGGTGGACTGCGGCAGGTGGGATGTCATCGGCCGACCGACCGAAGGTTGAAGGGTCTCGTTATGGTAATTACGCGTTACCAGCGTTCGCTGGCCCGCGTGGGACACGCCTGCTGAGTGCATCAGTTGGAAGATCATCCCTCCCACATCCATGCCCAGAACAGGGGTGGGGGCCCTCCCCCAATGAGGGGCAACGATAGGTGGGCACTGGCGTGGGGGGGAATGCATCGACCTGGCATCGGCGATGCATCACCGCTCGATCAGCGATAGGCCCCTGATAATGAATCCGCATATTCCTGGGCAAGTTTGGGCGATTGGGCACCTATCGGCGATCACTGGGCTATAAGGCACCTATCCCCCGCTATGCCTATCTTGAGTAGGGACAGACCGTCCCGGTAGTTCTACAGGCCTACCACGAGATCTTCTGAGAACAACATAATGTTTTGATAACAACAAAAAACTCTCAGAGCATACAACCGATGCATTAAACCAAAACCGTCTAGGCCAGAAATGGTTTGAGAACATGTCTTGCAAACCACGTCAGGCACTTCGAAAATTCTTTGGTGGGCCTATAAACAAGCAAGGACGCTGATTTGCCACTGCTCGACTATCACCCCCTTTGGTTGCCCGTAAGGTCGTC